TTAAACATATGGCTCAATTTTGGTCTCTTCATGGGGTTTGCAAGGGTCCAAAATATTCTGAAATATGTTGTAGAGCTTTTTCTACTTTAGCTATATTCCCACCAGCTAGTTAAGCTGGGTTAGAGCTGCACTTTGTGTAGGGCTTAGCTGGAGCCACATGTAAGCATTGTCCTTCCACAAGGAAAAGCCCCAAACGGAGCTCACCAGGACTGCAGCAGGTACTTGATCTCCAAACTGACAGAAAGATTTATGTTTTCCCAGTGGAAATGATAGTTATTTTCAGTGTATTTGGTGACATCAGGGACCAGGGCTATGAGGCAGCTTTCCTACATTTCAGGGGACCTGAGCTTGCTGGTATGAGGTGTTGATGGTGAGGGTAGAGATGCACACCTTTCTGTACCCAGTATAATTTGTTGTCAACTCTAAACAAATACGCAAAATAAAAAACAGAACCTCATCCTTGGTGATGTATAATCCATCCTTCCTTCAAGAAGCCTCTTTGTTTTGTCACTAGAAAGGATAAACCCCACAAACTACCTCACTGCTCATTTATACACCAATTATTGATAGAGGGATACCATAAATCTATGGGAAAGCTAATAGTGCACCTGTTCAACATAAGGGCACTCAAACCCATGGTGCAATGGGAAGGTGATTTCACAGCCCCTCTCTGCCACATGAATGTCTTTGTGCAGGCAGCAGAATTTACCCAGTTTCATCAGCAGCTGGTTTAATAAAATGATCACAATAAAAAACAATCTGCAGTTTTGTTTTGTAGAGGTAATTTCAAGCTCCCTGATCCAGTAGTCTGTGTACAACTCAACACTGGCATGGAGAAAGGCACTGGCCAAGGGGCAGAAAAGGGAAGGTGAAAAGTGCCTTGCAATCACAGCCTGACCATGCAACCCCACCCCTCTGACAGTCAGTGCCAAAAATCTATTCCTGCCCTGCTAAGTTACGGCCATTTCAAATCATATTTTTCTTTCCCAGTTGTTTGGCAAGAGTGTTATGTTCCTAGCTTTAAATACAGCTATCCAGGGACTCCCAGCAAGACATTTATTTTTATTATGTTTTTCTTTTGGGCTTTATTCACAAAGCCAGCAAGGATAACTAAAAATCTGAGATTTGAAGGAGAAAGGGGGTTTAAATGAGAAATACCCTTTCATGGAATTTTGGTGAAACGTTTTGAAACAGAGACTAGAATGGAGATAGAATTTCCTTGATGTTTAAACTTTCATGTTTTAGTAGAAAAAAGCCCACCCTATTTGAAACAGGCCCCAGATTTTTGAGAAACTGATGGAAGTAATGGAGTGTGACATACATAGCTGGGACAAGGAATATACTGGAAGAAGCGAGCACAGTGTCTTTAAGAAGTTGCCAAGACCTGCAGAAGGCTGACATGGGCAATTTCCTCCAAACTGAAGCTACAGGCAAATGAAATAGATGGAAGGTTGTTGAAATTGAAGGTATAAGTCTTCTGAGCTCTATACAAAATGAATGAGCAGGCAGTTATGAGGATACCAGAGTTACCAAGAGTTGGAAGTAGGTGTATGCTGTATGAATGCGCAGTCACCTTTGTCAAGATGGTCCCATTAAACCTTAAAACTGAAAATTTTAATGAGAAGAGAATAAAAGTATACCAGTTACTTTCACTCTACAATATAAACAGGTACAGCTTCAAGGAAATAGAATGTGCTTTGGAAGGATCTGTAAAGGCACTCGGTGCATCCCAGATTCAGGGCAGGAACTCTCTCTCTTCAGACCAGTGACACTCAGCGTTGCAGAGGTGCCACTACCTCTTCCAAAGGCAAGGGAGAACTGAAAGTCTGTGGTGGCAAATGATCTTTTCCTAATGCAGAGCCTGACACAGGTATCAGAATTAGGCCACTTTTAGGTGTAGACACCCAAGCTGGTGCTGGACTTGCATCACGGTGGACATCTGCCGATTGTCACTGTGACCAGGAGCACCTGCTGCTCTTGGTTGCCAAGTGTTATGCGACAAATTTTTACTGAGTCCCTGAGTTTCTGGAGAGATTAAAGTGGATCAGGACCTTATGCAGCCACATCAGGGCCAGAGATTGTTCTGTGTAGGACAGTCTTGGAACATTGGTTGAGAGAGAAGGAAGAGTAGATGTGTATTTGGGATGGATGTCCCAGATTAACCCCCAGCTCCCTCAAGACAGAAGTAGATGTGTTACTAGAGAAGCTGTTGGAATAGAAAGCTGAGGCACCCAGAGATCTGCCAATATCAGCAAAAGCCTTGCCCCAGCTGCTGAGTGCACCTACTGACTTTGAATCAGGCTCTAGAGGGAAATTTCAGCAGTTGCAAGACTTAAAAGCTTGCCAACCCCACCTAAAAATGAAAACTGCAAACTTGTAACTGGTGACCCTCTAGCTGCTTTAAAAACCAACCACAAAAAAACACACTTGTATGATTTAAAATCTATACAGTATTTCAAGTTGAAGACAGTTAAGAGGTGTAAATAGCTTTTAAGTAGAATGCATCAGAAATACGGAGAGATTGTGGGAACGAGCCAACAGCCAGCTGGTAACACAGGCAGCTCAGGTATGACAAGCAGGACTCAAGGTCCTGTTCTGTAAAACTCTGTGAGAAGTTGAACTCAGTCTTCCATCAGCACATCTCTGTGCACTTGGTATTTTAATATCCAGAGAAATGAAGTTGTTCCAAGAGAAGAAACAGCCACTAAAACATAAAAACCAGCCAAGCGGTTTAGAAATTTACTGAGATTGAATCCCAGCCATGTTATTGCACCAAAAGGCCCTGAGCAAATCTCTCCATGAAACACTTTCCGGACATTCTGTTTAATCACTGTGCAGGACCGTATTTTTCTCCTGATCTCTCTACATTTGCACAGGCTAGGAAAGTATCATTATTTTATACATATGTCAAGATTCAAGCTGGAGTACAAACCTAAATTCTGAAGATGGGTGTGTGTGACTGTGGCAAAAGATCACTTCCCCCCTCTCCCACTTGGCAACTGTCTTTGAAGGGCAATATGATTTGTCCCAAGATGAAAACCAGGTGAGAATTACAGGAGGAACTGTGACATAAGGAGATAAAATCCTAAAGTAGTTCCAGAGATGCTTGTTGTATTGTAATTGTGCATTCAGTAAACTCAAAGACTGTAAACATTTCTAGCTCTTCCTGCTTATACATGAACCCTTTAGACCTGCTTGTCTTACACTGGCAATATTTCGATACTGTATCAGCAATAAATCCAATCATAGTCATCCACATAACCAGCGTCAGACTTCTTGTGCCCGAGTCTCCTCTCCACTACTCTGCCACAATGCGACTCCTGCTGCACCCAAGGAAAACTGATTCTTCTTCCTCTCCCTGTCTTGTGCTCAGAAGGGCTCTGGGAAACAGAAGGTACAAAAGAATTGGAAGTTGTGAACATTCAGTCATAGAATCATGAAGGTTGGAAAAGATCTCAAAGATCATGGAGTCCAGCCCCCGATCAAACACTGCCATGTGAACTCAACCATAGCACAGTGCCATGTCCAGTCATTCCTGGAACAGCTCCAGGGATGGAGACTCCACCACCTCCCTGGGCAGCCTGTTCCAATGCCTAAGCAGCCTTTCCAATGCCTAACCACCCTTTCAGTGAACAAACTCTTCCTTCTGTCCAGCCTAAACCTCTCATGTTTAAATTAATGGCAGCAGACTAGTACTGTCCCTCTAAAGCGTAATAGTAATTTAGATGACACTGAAACTACTAAGCAAAAAAATGAAAAAAAATTCCCAATATGGATTGTCAGTGATGTGGCCTAGCATAAATGTCTGTTTTGTTGACAAGAAGCTGGCAGCAAGCGAAATACGCATAAGCTGAAAGTTTGTGGAATTGGGAGTTTTTACCCTCTCTTTAAAAATGGCTGTCCTGCAGAAAGATAATTCCTTTAATGCTTTCATCTCACAGAATAACTTAATCAATGATCAAAGATACATTCCATAGACAAGATGGAATTCCCAAATGTTATTCCTAAGTGTTATCCATCACTAGGGAAAAGGACAGTAGGCCAGCTCCTGGGAGCTTAGCTTTGAGAGACTGATACTGATCTTCAGAGCTCAGTTTGTCTACTGAGATATCAGTAAAAAGGACCTGACACAAGTCAGAGCTTTGTCAATCATCATAACCCATCAGAAGAGCTCTGCCTGTGAAACAGGCAAACATGAACTGTCCCAGGGCAGGACAGGGACTAACAGCAGAGACAACAAATGATAATAATGCACAGTGCAGCGGTGAGGCTTCCTCCTGACTACTTCACTACTGAATTCAGGTGTAAGGAAACAAATGGAACAGGTGCAGGGAAGGACTCCACCTAAATTCTGGAAAGCACCCATGGAAAAACAAGCAATTCAGCCTCTTTAGCCTTACAGAACTAAGGCTGAGACAAAATATACAACTTTGGTCTACACATACTGCAGGGGGCAAAGGGAAAAAAACGGAAAAAAGGGAAGATTCAACTTACCCTACAACTGTGCATAAACATCAGTATCAGTAACACACAGGAATGTATCAGTCAGTACGCTAGCAAGGTATGTATGAATATGGCAGCTAAGTAGAAAGTCAAAGGAACTGATTTTCAGAGCTAAGATATTTCCTTCTTTCAGGCTAATTTGCTTGGAAAAGTATTATGTGAGCACTTTTATAGTGTACTGAGACAGGCAAACAGTTACACACTTTCCCCACTTTTGGCTCATGTAAAATATAAGCACCTGTGAACAGTTTTTAAAGACTAACCAGGTAAAACTTACAGACATGACTCCAACCAGACACATTTGTAAAGACAAATTCCACAGTAAAACAATTAAAGGAAAATAAAATATGGCAACTCAGGTTTTTGGCAAACATTTTATATTTTTTATATAAAAATCTCAGTATGAAACCTAGCAGAATATCTGACCGAAACATCTGCCTTACAACAAGTTCAAAAAAAACTCACAAAAAAAAGAGAAATGAAGAAAAAAAGTAAAATTCCAACCCCCAAAATATTTTTTAATTATAAACCAGAATATCAACAAAACACTTAAAATAATCTCAGATTGTTTGGCAATTCATCACATCATAACAAGAGACACATTTGATCATAAGAAAAGTTTAACTTTATATACAACTTCACTTGAACATTTGCTCTTACCAGAGTTAATATACATTAAAAAAAGATTCTGGCAATAAAACCAGCTTCTATTTTTAATACCTGTGTATAAAATGTAACATAAAATGCTGAAGCTCTATAGTTAGAAGTGAGATTTGATTTCAATGGGTCCCTCTTTGTTGTAAAAGATAAATACTGAAAGAACAGGTGTTTAGCTGCAAAATAAAACTGTTTCATTTTAGGGTGGTATTGGTTGACTGTGAGTAAATCTAACCTAGTACTATTCATTTCTTGAAGTTGGTAGTAAATTTACAAGTGAAAATATAATCTAGTAAGATTACATTTTAAATGTCATACTTTGTCACAAATGTGAACAGAAAGGAGCCAAGTCCCTTTCACTATGCTAAACTACTTTAATGCATGCGAGAAAAATATTTTACCAACTGTCTGAGCATATTTCAGAGAACTTCAGATTTTAGACAGCCCTGGGGGAGCAGAGGGGAAGTTTCCTACTGACATCTGCATAGAATGTAAAATATATAATTAAAAAACCCTAAGGTATATACTAAAGTTTACAGACCAATGCTTTCCATATAATAAATAAAATGTCCATCATTGATTAAATTCATACACAGAGTAAAATACAACCTATTTTTACAAGTTTATGTACAAAGTGTATTAGTAGGCACATGGGTGCCTTATGGGCTGGAAGCATCTGCATTAGCATGTCACATTGGGAAACTCCAACTTTCCAAGTCAGTGATAAAATATATAACTACTTTGTTTTTCATTCAGATACAAAGTAAACTTATTTTTCATCTGAAATAAATGTACATAATATTCTGTATAAACAATAGTTTATAAAGCTGTTTAAAATGTAACTTAAAAGTACTGCATTGTTTAACTCAGAGCTCTGAAACAAGCACGTGCAAATCCCTTTGCTTTAAAAAAAATAGAAGCACAGATGTTTGTTTTCCTTTTGACTCTTCCAAGAACAGTACTGGCTGGTAAAGATTATCGTTTTGCTTTCTTTAACGGCGTCTCCTCTGTTTTCTGCTGGCCTTTTCTCCGTACCACTGTTGGGCTCTCCTCCCTTTTACGCTTGGCTGACTGCACCTTTACCCTGAAAAGCATATTAATCATTATTTTCACAATGGTAGAGCTTGCAAAGAAAAGAGTGGTCAGGCACAATTCTGTTCAGAGGGCTGAACGAAACCGTCCATCTCTGATGAACTGCCCATCTCTGACATATTATATAAAAGCTTACTACTAAAACACACTTCTTAATAGGATATGGGGTACTGATTTTGTGTGTTGGGGAGTGCTCCACATGTAGAATTTGGGGATAGAATTCTCCTTCCTTCTCTTTCTCTGGAAAGATTTGTGGATTTATAACAGAACATAATGGTCTTTATTTCCCTGTCCCCCATCTCACACAGACAGAATAGCAGCAATAGTGTCTCAGGCCTGCATACACAAGGGGGAGGAAAGGGCAGACTTCACATGCCCTTACCCTATGCATTCACACTCCCACCTACAGGCTCACCATATTTCAGCTGCAACTGTAAATGGGTTTAAACTCTTGGCCATTCATAACCACACAAAATAATGGAGCTGAGGTGAACTGTGACAGCCATCAGTGCACAATTCTCCAGGTTCAGCCTGAAGACACTGACACATTTCAGAAAGAATGACCAATACAAAACATTTTACAGGTAAACTACAAGATGCAGAGCAAATATTACTTACCGTGCATCACATTTATTACTTATTCCCTTGGCATTCTGCACTGTGACCTCAGCTTTACCAATTAAAAAGTGTAACAGGAAAAATGGGAAAGGGAAATATATTCAAAACTTGGTGTATGGGCTCTCAGAGCTTATCCTCTTTTTATCAGCTGATCTTAGATCTTCAAAGCATTAGAATTGTGTCAATGTATTTAACTTTAACCTGAACTACCAATGCTCTTACCCCCCACTCAAGAAAGAATCACAGCTGAAGTTAAATACTACATAAACAGCATTTTCAGATTCTCCCAAGAGGTTTCCAAACAGCATTTTCAGATTCTCCCAAGAGGTTTCCAAGGATATAAAGTAAAAAATCTAGTCTTCCAAATGTCAAATAAAGGAAGAAAAAGAAAAAAAAATGTAAACAGAAGAAAATCCTTTAAAAGCTTTTTATGTATCACACGAGAACAGAACACAACTAGTCTGCTGCTCAGATTTTGAAGCAGTACGTTACATATAAGGGAAAGACCACTGTAGTGGCTTCCAAAACAAATACTCAAAGTAGATTCAACTTTAATACTTACTGTGTCAATGGAGGAGATTTATTAATTTTTGTATCACTTGGAGATCTCTTTTTAGCTGCTAGTTTCTGTTGTTTTCTAGGAGAAACTGAATTTGGACTGCTGCCTTTAGAAGTTGCACGTGTGGTTGGCTTGCTGGGCTGTTTTCTGTAATACAAAAGAATGATGAATTTATATATAAGAAAATACTTCTCCTGAGTCAATTTCTTCTTGCACTCCAAGTGCAGATAACTAAGACTGCACAGTATTTGTGACAAGTAAATCAAAGTTGCCAAAAGAAACAGTGAAAAAAACATATTTGCCTGCTTCAAGACACATTGCGATGCCAAGTTGTGCATTTTTGTATCAAATGTAGAATCAAAAGAGTGCTTTACTGACAATATCTGGTATTTGCAAAAAAACCCCAAAGCAATCCATTTCAAATCTTGCTATAATTTTTGTAGGCAAGTGTCTATGTTTAAAAGAACATCTTGTAGTCTGAATTCACTCATATAAGCTTTGATACCTGCAAGTTCAGAAACATGAAAATCTCATTACTGGTGATTAATTTTGTAGTTTAGAAAACAGGTGACTTAAGTCAGAGAAATCCAGCAATGCTGAATATGAAGAAGCATCTTCTTCCACAGAATTATTCCCAAATGCTACTTAAAAAATGCAGACTGTATGCAGCACCTTAAGGTAGAGATGCTTTGTTGCAATCAGAGCTAGAAAGGTAGCATTAGAAATCTGAGACACAACCGCAAATCTATTAAAAAAAAGTAGATTTTCCACAAGCAACCAGAATAAACCACAAATACCTAAACCTTTTATAGCTAACAATGATGTGAGGGTAAAGGAATTCACTTTGCATTTACCAAAACAAAGCTGTTGTTTACTAAGTGGTAGTGGTAAACCATCACAGTTTTTACGTAAATGAAGAATCATGTCATATTTAAATTAAATTCTTCAAATGAAGAATCACTTTCAGATTCAGTTCTGGAATTATCAGTTCAAAAACACAGTGGCAACTATGCTTCACGTACTAAGAAGACTAACATATAAACAGACTACACACTACATACAAAGACTAACATAAAATATATACAATGTAACAAATGATATCGTTAAGATGGAAGCAGATATGGCCAATTGAAACTCCCACCACCAATATAAAAAAAACCCCTGGACTCCAATTATTTTCTGAAAGACAGCAACACAAATCAAAACTTCCCAAAGCTGTTATATTTCACTGTTTCCACAATAAGATCAAGAGGATGAGCTCTGCTAGAATTCAGTATGCCTATAAAAGGCTGACCAGCACTAAGGCAGATAAAGAATGGCTTCCTAAAAACAGAACTCTTGCTACTCACACTTGTTTTTCATAGCAAAATTGCTCTCCAAGCTTGCAGATCACCATACTAGAAATTAAATCCTCTACATTCATGTATTTAACTTGGACAGTACTTAAAGAAACAGACAGGAAGAATTACATTTTCACCTTGTTCCAACACCAAATACCAAATGGTGAATTGTCAACTCTAATGTCCCATTTTACCCTTCAGAACCAAGTGTCCTTAGACTCAAATTCTGAGGCATCACCAGGATGAGAGTGCCAACAGCATCAATTCTTACCTTGTTACATATTCAAGTACGCCTTTTGATACCCTAACAGTTTCCCTTAACCTCACCTTTTGTCTCTTCATTCTTAGAAGAGTGGTACTAGAATTAGAATCAGAATTATTTGGGAAGCTCTTATAAATTTAAAACAAACAGAAGAAGGCAGAAAGAGGAAGTAACAACCTCTTCCCTGCAACAAACCCCACAACTGAGAACAATGTAGAAAAAAGCTTGTTATTGGAGTATCTACACAGTTACCTTTGAGCCTCTAATCTTGTGGCTGATCTAGTTGTGGCCCCAGAATATGCATCATCATCTTCCTCACCATCCTCTTCCTCACCTTCCTCTTGCTCTTTTAGTTCATCTTCTGAAGATGTTAATTTCCGACGTTTCTTCTCTGGCTCCAGTGTTTCTGTCCATTTAAAATTTTACACATAGGCTGTAATTTTCCAAAAGGTCTCGAACACTTAATTTAGAAAAGGTATTCTAGTCATAACTCCCATTTTCAGTAAGTAATTTTCCATTTCCTTCATATTTCAACTTTTTTAACTCACACTTGTTTGACTTAATCTTGCTTACACATTCACCACAGTTTACTTACACAGCTCCTAGCCAGAATTCATAGAAAATTCATGAGGCTTTATAGAAGCATCTGGAATGTAGCAATTCTGACATGAGATTACAGCAATTTACACATATTTACATAATATTTACACTAGCTGTAACTCAATGATTTTTCCCCAAGAAAGGAAAATTGAATAAAGCTTATCTTGTTGCTATTAGTAAACAGAAAAGCACAGCAGTATTTTCTTATTCAGTTAGAAACAGCACAGTTTCTCATGCTTTTACCCATTTCCTCTGATTGAACCAGAGAACGCCTGGGCTTTCTTCCTCTTTTACGCACAACCATTTCTGCTTTATCAGCTTCATCTTCCTGAAAAAACAAAATGGAACCATGTAAGTCAAGAACTATTTACTTTACATAGAAGACAGGCATTTTTCATTATATACTGCTTGTAAATTTACAAATCACACTTACATTTGTTGTTTCTTTCTTATTAGATATGTCTGTACCTAAAAAGAAAGGAAAGAACAGAAGTTGATCCTGAAGTTCAAATCTTTCACCAATCAGTTTAAAAGGGACTTCTTGTGTACTCTCTCAACTTTGCGTAAATATCACAGTAGCTCAAAAAGCATTTAAAGTCTCTAATTTAGAAAATAGCTTTGTTATATACAGAGACTGGGACAATGATTTAATTTTTTTTGTAAGTACTAGGGCTTTATATCACTGACAATCAATTGATCTAATCATACTGCACAATACTACACACACACTTGCTCAGTCTAATTATGAAAGTCTCCAAGAACATGGTCTCTTCAGGTGATCTGTTCTAGTGCTTAACTGCACTCGTGTTAAAGCAACAAGATGACTGAGATGAAGCTCAAAAAGACACTATTTAAAACCTTTCTAGTATGCAAATGACATGACTTCCTCTGCTGAAATACTTCTTACTTTTAACTCAGTAATTTTTATAGGCTAGCCTACACAAATCTGTTAAAACAGATTTTTAACTCTACATCCCATGTGTCAGCTTGGCTTCTTCTCCATGGTTACCACTTCTACCATAATTCTGAGATGAGAGAGATTATTTTACAAAACTTCTGAACTCTGTCAAACAGAATTTTCTCTAACACCACAAGGATAAAAATCCTTAGCAATAGAAAAGAGAGGCAACCTAAATAAAGGCAAGTTTTCATATCTTTTTTCCCCTGCCATAAAATTGCTAATTTCTGAAAACTAAATAAAAGAGGACACAAACTCCAACATCCTCACCAATTAAACTGAGAGAACAAACAAAAGAATGTCAATGCAAAGGATCTAAATCAGATCTCAAAGAGCAGAAACATTCTACAACTCACACAAAACTTTTCTGGCACTCCTTTGTAAGGTTATGGGAAAAAAACTTTTACACAAAAGCAAATGAAGTAAAACATAAATATATTTAAGTATTCAAGAAATAAGTGAAATAAAGCATAGGACTGTCCCCTCTACTAGGTTCTTCATACAACATAAGCACAGACATAATACAACCAGCATGTATTCATTCATTCTACTGCGTTCAAAAGAGACACTTCATAATTCTGGTACATCTTGGTAAATTTGTAGCAGAGGGGTTTTTGACTGAAAATAATCCCATCTAGATCCATGACATGCCTTTAACAGACAACCCTCTGTAAGATATGAAAATGTAGTACTTCTGCTTTAAGATAAATATAAAAATAGTAAGACATAGTATATAAAAATCGCACTAATTTTAAAGCAGCAACTGTTGATTAGTGCTAAGTAATTAGTTTCAAGTTCAAGTGTCAGTGTTACAGGAAGATGACACCTTCAAAAAACATATGTCTCTTAACTGCATGTGCTGTAGTGACCAGAAATAAACTGTGCATCCTGCTCCACATGTGGGTCTGTCCTTACTGCTAATCCTTATGCAAATCACCCAGAAACTATCAGAATAAGTGAGCTGCCCAGAGGGATTCAATTTGGTTTCTTTTTCCTTTCCTTGCCAGGGGTTCTCAACCCTTTATGACCATAAATGCCAATACAGGATGAAAAACTTAACAGTACATTCCACTTTACATGCTCCTCTTAACATTGCTGTGATATCAAGAGCCTTCTACCCGGAAAACAGAAATGTTACATAACACACTCAAACTTTAAATACACAGTCAGGTGTCTTTCTGAATAAAAAGCAAAGCAGAATGCACTTTGATTTCATTCTCACGTTCTTGTCTATTCTCTCTGCAGTTCACAGAAGTCCAAGTACCACACAACAAGCTAACCCTCCAGAGACAATTCTGCAGCATATGGATTAAAGCTGACATTTTACCAAATGTGAAGAAAATAGGAAACAGTACTTTTATGTGCAGTGCAGCCAGATTAGTCTATCTGCAGAAACCTAAGCTTTTGGAAACTCCAGAAGATTTGTTTTGAAGATTTGGTTTCTCAGATTTTTTGCACATTTGTTTACAAACCATTTTTAAACATAATTTTCAGATCACCTGCTTCCTAAAATGAGTTTTAAAAGTTTTTTTAATGAATGGCCATAATTAAAAAGACACGTTTAAACAACCAGTGCAGTTTGGATTCTATACACAAGAAAAACGAGGAAAGAGAAATAGAAAGATATTTCACTTAATTCTGTTTTAGTTTGAAGCACTTAAAAGTACATTTTTGAGTCAAGCTAAGCAACCGTGTTCCAAAGTTCTTACAGCAGCTGTGAAAAGGGAAAGAAATATCCCCTCAAGATACCCCTGAGATCTTTAAATACATATCCACAGATCAAACAATTAACTGAACAAAATTTGAAATGTAATGTAGTAAGTGTGATTGCTAGTCACTGTGTGAAAGAAAACATGCAGGAATGGGAAACAGTCACCAAGAGCCAGTTTGATAGGGTACCTACCATCCTCTGAAGCTCTGCCATGTACTTAGCTCACTCAGTCATTTGGTATATTCTGCAATGCATTGTTCAGCACTGAGCAGTGCTGCTGCATCTTTGAACTAAGCTCTTATCAAGCTGTTCTTTTTTGAAAAGAAAAACTTGGTAGCAATTAGGGACAAGTTTTCACTTCATCTCTTTCTTCAGATGTTTTCATTCATGAATGACACTGACTGCCAGAGATGATGTCAGGAAGAACAAGGACCCATGTGATTTTTGTGAAAACCCTTTTCTATTTCTTCCATCTTTCATTTTATATGTTGAGGCATATATTTATATGTTTTCTTACCAGTTTGAGGTGTTTTCCCTCTACTTGCAAAGGTAGAAGACTGCAGCTGAAATTAAAAAAGTGGGCTCTTTAATTTAAAGAAAATCAGAAAAAATCAGCATTGTGCTACATAATCACAGGAACTGGCTTGCACTAATTGTAGAATGAATCTGCAAATCTAGAAAACATGAACACTGATGAGCACATGAAATTTGTACTGAGTTTAAGAGTAGGATGCATTTTTCCATTTTGGTAACTGAAACAAATCAACCCATAAACAAATCACAGCACTTTCAGTAACCTGACACTAAAATCATTGCAATAAAAGACATGAAAGATAAAAGTAGCTTCAGTCAAACAAACTTCTTTGTTGATAATTATATCAGAAATATGTTTAGTACAGTCACTTTATGTAATCCCACATACAGATTTACAGAACTACAAGTCACCAGAAATTGTTTATTTACTCAGAACGCAGAAAAAGCTATATATAATTACACAATGTCCTATGATGACTGTCCAAAAACTTCAGTGCTTTCCCTGCTGAATGACTACACCAGGATGCTTATGGTACCTCTAAAGTAAGGTGTTCCCAAAACAGCCCTGGGGAAAATGTCATGCAAAGGCATCTCACCTTAGAGAGCCCGTCTCACATGGAGGGCAGGTATCACTCCTCCCTGAGCCAGCCTGCAGCTGACACCAACCACTCACTCATCACCAGGAAATACAAGAGCTTTAAACACTTGAACCACAACAAGATGATTCTGTTCCAGTACTGAGGATGCCAAGGTGCATCTATTTCTGAGGGTGATTTTAAAATTAATTTTAATCCTTAACTGGGCAAAAAACCACCCCAAAAACCAGCCAAACAAAAATCAACCCACAACACCAAAACAGAAAAATGAAATACCAAAATCTATACCAGTTCAAACTACATTTCATTAAGTTAATATTGAAAAAAAAAAAAATCTATTAAGACTAGGAATTCTGAAACAGAATTCAAGCCAACCTGTAAGAAGGGACAGGACTCAAAGGGCTGCCTAAAATATGAGGACAGAACAAGTAGAGACAGTAATTCCTTTTATCCATAAACTAGGTAAATTTTCAAGATCTTCAACAGCAATGCCAGCTGGTGCCTCACCAGGCAAGCAGGAAGAAAAATCTGTGTTTCAACACAACTTTATTTTTAAAATCCCCCCTTTTCTATGCAATAATGCTGATTCTCAAACAGAGGAATTTCCTAGAGAGAATCCTTTAACCAGAATAAATCCCACTGGCAGTACTCCACAAACATGCCTGACCCATCACTGCCCTGTGCTGTAATCCAACTGTATAGGAGAAGCAAAACCAATAGACCACTTTCTTAGCTGTGAATATCTTTCACAGGGGTTAGGAAATAAAACTACCACTGAGCTTTAAAAGACAGACATGTTTCATGAACTCCTAGGTTACTCACCTAGGTATGTCACCTAGAGACAGTATGTCTCTACTTGCATAAACTGTAATGTTGCAATATATATGTAATAAAACTGCTTTATATAATATTTTATTTTACAGCTATGAAAGGATTCTATGTGCTATTATTACGATACATTCAGTAGAGGAAAGAAAATTTGTTTTTGAAATAAATTCAGCCTTGCTTTTCAAAATTACTCTCAGCACAAACTGAAAGACACATATACACACCACCAAAAATTCACCCTGCACACAGGTATATATATTGCTAGCTAGTAACACTTAGATTTGTATTAAATGAACTAAGTGTGAAGCTTACAGGTAATTTGCTACATTCTGACTTAACTCTATATTTTGCTTAAAAAGCTTAGCTATATTAAGAGATACTATTAATAATTTTCATTTGCTTAGACTGAACTCCATTATCATGTTTTCCATAAGATGTTTCTGAAATGCTGTTAACTGTTAAACAGATAAATGGCTCTTGAAATACTGTGTTAAATGCACCCAAACAAAATAAAGGCACTTACATTCCCAGTGCTCATATCAGCTTTTGACTCCCCACCTGAGGGAAGAAATATGAGTTCAGAAGTTGAATGTCATTATAATCCTTGCTTTTCCACACAGGTATTATGAAGTACTTACCACCAGGTTGTACTGCTTCAAGAGGGTATTTACGAGGCCTTCCCCTTTTGCGTTTCACTACCACAGGCTGATTTTCCTATTAAAAATAAAGGACAAAAATATTTTACTTACTATAACTGACATTTGAGCAATACAATATGAAGACTGCTAACTGAATTAATAATGTGACAGTGGCAGAAGTAGTACTTTCCAGGTAAAAAAATAGATGAGGCAAGTTTAATAGCAAGAGACTGCCTGTTATGAAATCAACTAATATAGGTGAAAAGAAACAAGACAACTCCCAATTATACAAAATTCTCAGTGGGTTGACTCAGGCACAAAGCATGGCTGAGAATGCAGGGCCTTCTGCTCCCATAGCCCCAAAATCTCTGTCACTAGGTCTCACAAATGCTGCTGGCTTTCCCCATATAAGAACTCCAGACTTTACATCCCATGAGCCCCTTTTCCTAGTGCCACTTAGCACAGTCTACATCCTCTATGCTGAGCAAGTGCTTCAAACAGTTCCTATACTAATTATCCCAATACACAGACTGCTGATATTCTTTATATAAACAGGATTTTTAGCGAAAAAAACCCCCAAAACAAACAAAAACAACTTTCTTTGAAGTTTTAAGCTTTGAAAGAGAAGTTTTAAGTAAAAAATATGGTCAGATGCTCAGTTTGCGAAATCCCCAAGAGACTTTCTCTTGCATACAAGGAAAGATTAAATGCCTCATTCAGCATTTACTGAAGTTTAACAATATTTCCCCCAGAATGGTTCTTAGAGACTCAAGCCTTGAGTGAACAAAAATAAAAATTCATTCTTAAATTTTCTTCTACTTCCAAATTTGAGGCAAAAAACCCCAAATGATGAAACCCAACACCTGAGATCAGTGCCGATTTCTAGGCATCAATTTTAATTTTAACATTTTCAGACATTTGTTTACAACCCCTACTGTAGAATATCTCAAGTACATGCCTAGAAGATAATATAAAGACTTTAAAAATTGTTGAGAAAGATTGTATTTTTTAAAGGCAAGTTGTATTTGTTGGTGACTGAATTGTCTGCATCAATTGCAAAGTTTTCAGAAAACATGATTTCTATACAATAAAACTCAATATAATTGCTTTCTAGGCATTTTGTAAGCACTACTAAGCCTAGGAAGTGAGTTAGCTCTACTTTGATAACAAGACATTGATGTCTTAAGATCTGTGAGTTTATACTTTGTGGCAGAGCTACATAAGTCCTTGGTACTTTACAATGCCAATCAAATCTTAACAACTATTTCTTAGTAGGTGAAGACAATTTTAATATTGCTGTCAACAAAATACAAAATAATTATTTACTGCAAAGACAGAGTATTGTCAATCTGCACTATCTCAATGACTGAACATGAGTAAGACCACTCACCTCAGGAGAATTTTCATTTGATTCTAGACTGTGCTTTTTCTTTTCAGACACTTCCTGATCAATGTTAAATTCATCTTCATGCATACAAAAGAAAAAAAAAAAGAAATGGTATACCTTTGGCAAAAGAAATATAGTAAAAGCAACAGTCTCTACACTGAAAATGTTATTACATTTTTTAGCCCAAAATCCCCTAAAAACACCCATCAGAAATCAACACTGTTTGCCTTGTAACAAGAGTGTATTGGTCTGCCAAAATACATCTCCCTAACACCAGATGAGTTAGGTAGGTCTTCTATTTTAAGGTAAAAACAAAAGCTCATAATTGTGACACACTATAAAATGGTAGGACAAATACAAGCCCCTGTCTGATTTTCTCACATGTTCCATAAAACGGGAAGTTGAAGATGCAAGCACATTGCAGAACAGATTCAGATTTGTCAACTTGCTTGCATGAGAAACAAAACTATTAACAGGTCAAACTAACATCAAGGAACATTCTCAGACTGTTCCCACAAAGACAGTCTGAAGTAACATCAAAGTCACATTAATAATGGGGATACACCATCTTTTATTATTTATTTTAGTGCAATTAAGTCAATTACAACTGTGCAACTTGCACTCTTTTCTGGCTGGTTACTCTACAGAAACAAAACTGATTTGATGGTTATGTCATGGATTTTTACATAGGACCGCTCTTGCTTGTGGTCAGTTACGAGATGTTCTTACCACATGCTGATTCTTTTCACATGCACATTCTTAGCAATGCTGATTTTTCTATTTTCCCCACCTACCTGTTTATTTCCCATTAGCCTTCCTACCCAAGATACACACTGATGCAATAATGGAGCAAATGGGTGCTAACAGAAGAAATATCAAAACTTTTCTCACCATTAAAGAAACTACGATTAATGCATTATTTGATAGCAGTAAAGAGCAGAAATCAACTAGAGAATACTTGCAAGTATATTTGCTGGAATCAAGTTCCAAATTTCTCTCAAAATTCATTCAAATGGAAAGAAATGAACATTCAGTATGGGTTCAGAAAATCTGCTATAATGGGCAGTTTAATTACCTTTTTCTTCCACAGTGCATCTAGGAGGTGTTTGTGTTACATCAATTTCTTTGGAATCTCCTGTTGCATCACCTGAAATAACTTCCTACATTATTTTGAAACAAGAGAGGAAAGATGTTTTACTACACATTAAAAATCACTGCCAGTTACACTAAAAAAAACACCCCACCCCAATATATGAGTAGTTATTTTACACATCAAGATTTTATACTGTCTCTTAAAAGCTTTGATGCTGAGAAGCTTCATCACAAATCAGTGAGTGAGACAGTCCCAAATATACTCCATGTACTCCTCAAAAGAACATCTTTTTTGTCCTAATTCCTGTTTTGATTTAGCAGGAATCAGTACAAAGTCAGAACTCAGGTAAAGTGCAATATACTCCCCTGAAGATCTCAGGTCAGTGTGTCCATGTAGACACTGAACTGACTGGAGAGCTGGCATTGCACAATGCGCCATGAGATCCCAAACTCCTAACTATGGTGCAACTCAGTCCTCTCTGTCTTCCAAACCTCAAAGAGATTCAACACAGATCCCTGCCTTTTTTATTTTTTTTTAATCATCTCTCCCACTGCAAAGTATCATCCACTAAGTTATTTTGTATTCAAGACAACTCAAAAGTAGCTTAAATATTGAAACACCTCCCAAAATAAACTTGAAGAAATAATGACTAAGATTTTCATCTTATTTACAATTGCAGAACGTAAAAGAGTTCTTGAAAATACCTTAATGTTATCAGGTTTCATTTTGGAACACTGATTTTGTTCATCCTCTTTTAGCACATCCTGAGCAATCAGCTGGTTGCCTGCAAAAGCAAGTGACAATTGAAGTGTTAAAAAAGCGTCATCTGCGTTTGTCATATTTTCGTGTCACTTTTATACCAGCTCACTGTTACTGAGATTCAAAAGTCTGAAAAGCAGCCTCTTACAAAGATATGAACAGAAAGTTATTCTAATCACTCTTTGAAAAGGGAAGACAACACAATAACAAAAGAGAATTACATGTTTCTTGTACATTACAGGTGTTTGCTTTTAAAAATAAGCTCAAAACTGAAATTTGGTAGGTAACACATCAAGAAACCGAACACCAACCTCAACTTCAACTCACCCAGAGACAGGGAAAGCAGTTAATGCTATGTGGGACACTAATGAATACATAACTTTTAATCACTCCATCAAATCAAAATTCTTAGAAGAGGAATAAAAGCTCTTATAAAAAATGCTATTATTAATGATATTAACTGTTTTTCTAAATTGTTCTAATACTGAAAAGACAAAAGAAGTTGAATCCAGAACTTGAAGAGGTACTATATTGTCATTCTCGTAATTACTGTATCAACAAATTGCCCAACTTATTTCAATGTTAACTGCATCTAAATTTATTTTAGAAATGTTTATGCCATTCAATGGACTAAATTCCTTCTCCCTTTTTGCTTCCAGACAAATGAAAGGCTACTATAAATTTATTTCTTTCTGACCTAAGAAAAGGAAGCATCCATCCCCATAAAGTCTATCTAGTGTTTAGATTTTCCTGATGATTAGCTTACTTTCATCTTAAAGGGACAAAATTAGTAATTATTTTACAGACAAAACAACAAATATTTCTTCACTTATGATGGGAAAAACGATAATGTTCTTCTGTGCACTAATTAAATTTGTTATAATATTTTATCAAATATATTAATTGTAATATTAGAAGTTGTTTTAGGGATATATATTGCTTTGGAGCTTGGAATTTCCCCAATTTCCCCTATTCCCCTATTTTTTCTCAAACATACCTTTTTATGGCCTAACCACAGTAGAAACTGGTTTTGCCACAGAGAAGCTTTGCACAAATTTGTGTACTTCTGTATCACTTACGTTTTTCTTTATCCGTTGTTTCTGAAGATTTACACTCTATTCCTCTAGATCTAACTTCTTCAGCTGTCTGGACAGCCAAGTTTTCCACCTACACACAAAACACAGAGAAAGAGAATTTTTTTTTTCCATTAAGTTTATAAACACGGAAGGGAGAAACTTTTCCCTACTTGCTACTTCCAAGTACAACATACATTAAAATGGAAAACAGCCGTGACAAAAGGAATTTATTCCTAGAACTCAAGTAACCATCCTACTACAGAACAGCAGAATCAAAAAACTTCAAACTTGGAATATTTTCAGAATTTTTGACTGATATTTGTATTGAAAAAAGACTCAGAATTAAGCACCCTACTATATGTTTTAAAAGTAGCTCATCACAGTAAATCAGACAGAGTATTTCTGGATTTGAAGGACATTCTCCTACATGCAAGAACAATAGAATTATCTCATTAGCACCAGAAATGTGGCCAGCCAGCATTTCAATATACTAATAAATAAATTTATTACCCAAGTTTAAGCAACCACAAACACCATTTCAGCCTGCTATTTATTAAATGTCTTAATTTTGTTCCATAAGATACACTTTACATTTCCAAGTTTGCAAGTGTTACCCCTCTTATAAGTTCTTGTGAAAGACAGCATGCTGCATTAAAATAGGTTTCTATTTGTGATCAAAACCTCCAAGAATAATCCCTATTATTTTCCTCTACTTTCATGGAGATCAAACTTCTCTTTTCTTTTAACAGTCTTGAAATAGTCAGACTGTGGAACAACAATACAAGATTTATTCACTGATAGATCTGAAAGAATAATTAGACATAAACCTATACAGCTGCAGAGTCTCAACAAACATAGGCGCTGCATATACAAAAATAGTATTTTCATTTAGAGAGTATTTAATGTAAATAGAAGTAAATTCAAGTATGAGAAAAGCAGCACAGATTTAGAGAATAAATCTAAAAAGCAAGTACTTACATGAGAAGTTTCTCTTTCTAAAGGAATATTCCTGTGCAGCACATCTATTAAAAATAATTTTAACACAATTAGAAAAGTTAAGCAAGCACAAAGTATCACAGTATCCTCTACTTCACCTCCCTGAAAGGATTCCAGTGAACCTGAAACTATGTAAAACTTACTTCCAACGTTGCAAGTAAGAGACATCCAATCCTCTCTTTAACAATATACCCATACAACTAAACATGAATATGAATCTCTGAGCACAGGATAACTGAAAATCACTTTATGGTTGAAATAAGGCAATGAAGGGGCTGTTATCTTTGAAATTTATAGCGACTTTGATGGTTCAAATATAATTCTATCATTTGAATCAGAATTTCTTCCATCACAATCTTAGATACTGGATCACGGGATGAAGTAAAATGTGATAAAGCTACATGATGCTTCCTAAAGAACTAAAGTTTGCATAATTGTGTAATTGAAGCTGACAGAATGCACATAAGGAAACTGTCCAGTTGCTAAACTCTACTATAACTCTGATGAACTAGAGCCTCAGCCTTCCATATCACAAAAATAGGGAAAAGAATTATGAGATCTGATGGGTGGTCTGGAGTTTTTAAAGAATTCAGTAACTTTCAATGCACAAAGAGAATTATAAAGAAGCTGCTCTACTGAGTATTCTTTAAATCTGATTCACAAAAGCACCAAATTAATACCTTGATTTAAAAACATTCTAAGCTAAAACATTCCAAGCAACTTTCCCTTCAGCTACAGCAAAAACAAACCTAAAATCAAATAAACCCCCTGTTGTTTTTTTTTAACATACAGTTTTATCTCTTTTGTAGCTTGTTTCTTAAATCTCCATGTTTTAGCAACAATTCTTCCACAGCTATACTGCTGAGTTGCACATCTTTCAATTTTTAAAGCAGTGTCAAATGAAGAGCTAGTTCCTACCCACTCAAACAGCAATGATTTGTTTACATTCCAAAGAATCTTGGACTACTAAACTACTGTGTCTGCTGTTCATACTCATGACAGGACACACATTTGTCTTTTAAACAACTTCCTTTTACGCATGTTGAGCAGTATATATATATATATATATGCATGCTTATATACATATAAGAGATTATTGTGGGGGAGAAAAAACCTCTCTACCAAGATCTACAAAGCATTAGTCTTCAGTATGTCATATCCAACATGATTTACACAACAAATGGACCTTTGTTAAACATTTTACAAGAAACAAGATTATCTCAGCTAGTTCAATCTGCACATTTAACATTTTAAGTACTGTCTGTCTGGGTGATTGGGTGATGGGAAGTGGCAGAGTTCTAAAGACTCTTCAAAGAAACCTCACAGTACAGAAAAACCTGTTCAAATTTTAGATCTGCTGTTCTGAAGTCTACATTCTTCTAATCAATTCTCAGGGTTTACATTTGCTTTCTTGTGAGCAGAGCATGTCTCTTACCACTCAGCTGAATACACACCATCTTATAACCAGGTATCTGAATCTGACCTGCCCTGAGAATAAAAAGAGAATTCCAAAGTTTTATGCCAATGCTCACATCTGACATTACTGCTGTTTTTGTTTTCTATTTGGTATGTCTGAAAATTTAGACGTGAACTCAACAGTGTGTCCCATCATAGCATGTAGGCTTTCAGCTGCAACTTTCTGTTAGAGGAAATGCATCTTTAACCTCCCTGGACAATAAAAGCAGCAGTAACACTGGAACCTCTTGGGATTCATTTTAGTTCTGATTGTTATTCCAATAACTGAGGATTAGCTCTCGTCTGGTAGTGTAAACATCTTTGTAATGCATCTGGAGCACAAAATCCATCAAGATAGGCACAAAGCAGGCTTTTGTTTCTG